ATGGCTTTTTTTCTCCATTTCCTTCCTGCTAACGCTTGTATATCATCTGTCCAGCTTTTTCTTGGGTGCCCTCTTCTCCTTGTTCCCCTTGGCCCTTTCCAAGTTTTCTTTAAAGTCCACCTATGCTTTGCCCGTGCCCCGTATCCGTCTATCACTATGATCTGCAAAAACCTGTACAGTAATATGAAATTCTTCATGTTATTTAATTATAAAGGTTTTTATACGTTATTCAGTCTGTATTGTTGATTTTTTGTGCATTGTATTTGAAACAATAGAACAGGCGTTGATATCCGGAATTTATTCTATCATCATCAGCGGAAACGATCTGATATGTGTTTATAATGGGGGATCACGATCATTTTACATCATAACTGAGTGTTGTCTGAACTTGACTTGAATTTTTGATTTTTAGTAAATCTTAGTTTTGGTGAACTCAAGTGGAATATGGTTGTAAGTAATTAAATCCCTAACGTAGTGAGACAAGCTGAGGATAGAAGAAGGAAGAAGAGGACAAAAAAATGATTTGCAAATAAAATATATTTAAATTGATTATGTACATATATATTTATATACCTTCGAAAAGGAATCAATGTAATGCGAATAAAAGTAAGACTAATTAATTACAAATAATGGCAAATCAGAAGGTAAGGGATGTAGTCGTTGTAATAAGGAGTTCTAACCGGTAAGCCCCAAAGGTGACGCATAATGTACCAGAAAATAAATAAATCAGTTAGGTCTGGGTCAATCTAATAGGCAAGTAGGTAATCAGCCTCCTGTGCTTGACAGACACCGTCGGCTTTTTGGGTCTAAGGCTAGTCGGTTTCCTCCTGCGGTTTTCCTTCACCGTTTGAGCGAATAGTGCCCACATAGAAAGACAGTCCATTGGTGCACAGCCGGGGATCGAACCTACGACCTCAGGAATCAGAGTTGAGGCCACTAGGCCATAATGTACCATATCATTCATAACTTTAAGAAAGCGAACAGTTTAGCACCAACGCAAAACATAATATATTATTCTAACCCAGGAAGAGTTTGTAACAACGTTCGTTAACGAAGCTACAAAGGCGGCTTAGCAGACCTAATACCGGTGTTTCTCTTGTTTTCTCTTTGTTTATATAACCGATAGGATTGTCAATAACCTACGTATTCATTTCAATTTGACAGCCACGTTCCCCAAGTGTATTTGGTTACGCGAAAACGTGCGGTGTTGGTTTCATTGCTTATATAACATTGACGAAATATAATATTAAATTGAAAGGTAATTAAAGCTAACTGTGGTTTTGTGTTACCTATGTACATTGTCAAATGTGTTCCCACGCATGTTAAATTAAAAACAGATACGTATATATATTTTTATTTTTTATACATGATTAAAAATGTTGCTGTAAAACACAAAAATAATACACCCAATAGTTTTGGGTATATTATTTTCGTGTACACTGGTACACTATATCTTCCAATAGCGATTTCATATACAATATACATAGGGCTGTATTGTAATCGCCCGGTAGAAAATCTCAACATAAAAGTTTGGATCGCAATTTTGAATCACTTGGGAGTTGGGTGCAAATACTGATGTTCTATGAAAACGCTTATCTAATAAGTATCGTATGTACTGAATGAACATCAAACCCTAATATCGTTACCCTTTTGGTCAGAATAATCATCTAAATATATAAAACAAAGTCATGTTAGTTACACCAATTATATCTCAAGATCGGCTGGACCGACGTTAGTTATCTCTTTTTGATGGATTCTTCTCCGCTCCGAATAGCAGAATAAGTAATAAAATATCGGATAAGTTATATATATATATAATAAAAATAAACAAATTAATTAATTTCACCAATGCAAACAGCACGTGGTGCCATCTGTTCACAAAATTACGCATATAAAAGAAACCTACTACTTTGTTCTTGCGCCGGATAACAAAACGAAAAATGTTGTACATCGGAAAGTGCTTTAACATGCAGTATCGCAAAATTGGCGCTAGAGAGAAGAGGCCTAATGTGTAAAACTGCCATTCTCCTTTCGCAATGGCAAGCAATAAAAAATTTATGTATTTTGCCTAAATTAAGTTTAACTAAAGTTAACACCATAATATTAGACTGTTACGAAGTTCGCCGGGTCGGCTAGTTATTAATAAATGAGGATATTTAAATTCTCCTCATACTTCAAAATTTAAAATATTAGACAATTTCCAAGTGCTATACATTTTCACACTCGATTTAATTGAAAGAATTTGATGGCTCGAATAAGATAATGTCATGTTTGAAGCTTCCTCTGATAACGTGCGAAGGGCGGTGAAGCATTGAAAATTCAATTAAATACGCCAAGATAAGTCCAAATGACATATCCGAAATTGCTTGAACGTTTTACGTACGTATATAAATTCTTTATTTTTCAAAGGATAATATGACAGTTATTATATGCTAATACTGGCAAACCTGGAAAAGTTTGTTTTACCATATAAAGATTATTATAGTTTTAATATCGCTATTAAAAAAATATTGATGGTGGTAGAAGGGGGGAAATCAAGGGGTTCTATACTTAATGCTGTTGACAATTGATGAAGACCAGCCGGACCGAAGTGAAAGACTCAGTGTCCTCAAAATTAACCACTGTCATAAGAGAGGCGCTGGACAGAAACTGGTGGAAACAGATAGTCCCCTACAGATGCTTCCTTGCTAGACTTAATGCCAATATATTTAAAAAAAAATTGATTCCCAAAAAAATAAGAATTAACTTAGGGGTGTAGATACGACCTATTCTTAGACCTACCGAATAATTCTCAAAAATCGGCCAGGCCGTTTCGGGGATTCAGTATCTACGGGTCCCAAATGCAATGCAGTCTATTTCATGTATCGAGAAGGGCTATATGTGTAACATAACGCTACGACTGAAATAACAGAATTAAATATTAATGAGCCCTCTATGCCTAATTAGATTAAATACACGCCAACATCTTAACTTTGTTATCCCTTATTGCAAAGAAAAGGTGAGGAGCCCGGGAGTCGATAGTCTGAAACAAAAGACAACCGTTTGATTGTGATTGGTCAATCAATTAATATTTCTAGTCCAATACGCGACACGCGACATGCTGCGTCATGACGTTACATTTGTCCAATCATTCTTCTTTCTTTTAACTTTTGACATGTTTGACAATCGAAACACTAAGCTAAACATTGGCTTAAAATGAAAGTAATACAAAAATAGTCTAAATAAACACGACGAAAGCCAAGAAATATTTCTTTAAACGCCTTTTAGTATTATGATCGATGTTTGGAGTTTGAAAGTTTGACACGAACAAGTCACGATCTTTATTTGAACATGCAACACTGGATAATGATTAATTATGAAATACCCGGATTTATTTACGTTTTATAATATATTTAAACTTTTAATTAATACATAGTGAAAGGATTGTCTATGAAAATGACAGCTGGAACAAAATATTAAGAAAAAGACACAATAAAATATTCTGAATAAAATGTTCAAAATGTCATTGGAAATTTGATTAAAGAAAAGTTATTTTATTGTATTGCAATAAAACTCTGATAAAAAATTACTCGGTGGACATTTTCACCAACTTAATAGAGACCATTCATCGCGTCGTTTTAGAAACCTTGTGTTAATTATTTGCTATAATTATTTTCTTTATTCCTACATAATTATGTATTTACATTGTATATTCGTGGATCCTTGGCGGACCCATGCGTCTTCCGTACAAAGAGTCCCCTCGTGAGTTGCGCTGCGATATTGCGGGGTACTCGATTGTGAGAGAGTTCCATGGATCTGGTTAGCGCTGCGCCTTAAGTTCTCATGTCATTTTCACTCATGTATATCCTTTGCATAACATAATTAACTGATTATACTAATTTTAATGTGTGATGTTTGAGAGCAAAAATAAAATAACTAAATAAATCGCAAGAAACAGTGTTCATACAGCGAATACAGATAAAAAATGAGAAATGGTAGCTAAAACTTATAAACAAATATTATCAACTTACTGACATCGTTTGATGTTTGTTTCCTACGATATATCGTTGACCCATGACCCATTCGGACGTTGACTGATGTATCAATACATCATCTAGATAGGTTGGGCACATATTAAAACTTTCTTGAGCAAAGATAATTAAAAATAATAAGACATATACTTAATAATTGAAAGGCCGTATTTATCAGATAAACTTCTGTCCGTAGCTTTGGATTTTTGCGACCACTTCAACAATAAACGTCAATTTTTTAATTATAAATCATACTTAAATATACGTCAAATACTCCTTAGGAGAACCTTCCACAGTGTGGATGGTAATACAATTGGATTTCCAGCTTTCTTATTGATCAGAGAATCAAGGCCATTGATGGAGCATGTTCCGACCTCAAACGCGTGAACCCCACAAGGTTTCAACTTAGCCACATTCATTGCTATGTGGACGATAGCACTGGGCATACTCTATACACTGTCCGAGCGGGTATTTATCGGACAGTTACCGATTAGGATCGGAACTTGTGTCTGAAGTTGAAATGACGAGGAATCTCTAAATTAGCCTCGTTAAAGATTGGTGTGCTCAGGCGAGACTTACTTGCAACTGCATAAAGCGCAAATTCGGCCCCACATAATCTTGACCTTGATACATTGGCGTTGCGTAGAGATGTGGGGTATTTCTGTATATTCTACCGCATTTACTATGATAAGTGTTCAGAGGAGTTGTTCGGATTAGTACCTGCAACTGAGTTTAATCATCGGACGATTTAATGGATTCGTATTAAGAACCAGCCTGTCCTTACTATAATCTAAATGTTTTCATTCATATTTAAACCTAATTATCCCCTTATATACGTTCATTGGTTTAGACAGTTTTATATTAAAACAAAGACAGATCGCTTAACTCGATTATTAACAGGAACAATGGAGGCTTGATCTATTGCTACACGAAGTTGACGTGTTAAATGATTGCCTTTTGTTTTAATTTAAAGTCAATACACTGTCGACTATGATTGATGTTTGTGGACTAACTGGTATCTTTAACTCTCGTAGCTATGTTGGTTATTTATTTAAGTACACTATCAATTCGACTGCCAAGCCGGCCTTGCTCCTTACTACCGAGACTCAGATATCTTCCCGGGCTGATACTTCCTACCTCTCTTACCCGTTCTTATTAGTGCCACGGGCAAGAGTTTGCGTGTATGTCAGAGAGATCTGTTCTCGTCCCCTCAGGACGTCTCTCGTCCCTTCAAGAAAAGAGCGTAAGTACCAATTCTTAAAGGGCTGGCAGCGCACTTGCAAGCCTTCTCGCAATGGAGGGTCTATGGACACAACATCATATGAGCTCGTTAGCCTCCAGTTACATAAAAAGAAATACTCATTCAATAACCAGCTTTCCGCAGGATTGACCGCGTGGATTTAGCGGTGGGCAATACATAGTAGAAACCGTACAAAAATCCGTTCGGCAGTGTCTGAGTTTTCCACGTTCATGCAGAGAGACTCTGCTCTTAATTTAAAATGTAAAGAGATAATTAATTGCCTTAATTTAATCAAAGATTACGTTTGACTACGAGGTCTTTTGACGATTTGTAGAAACAATTTAACTTCAAGTCCAAGTTGGATAATGTAACAACTTGTTTCGAAGTAAAATGAGTCAAAACAATACATTCATTTAGATATTATTGGCATATCTTTGAAACCAGCAAGTCTGTCGCAAAATAAAGTTAAACTCAGCATTTCACTGGATTTAAGCCACAGCAGCTTAAATCCAGGTTATAGCTACACGTTGGAATACTTAATCCCAAGGTTATTGTACCGGATTTGTAACAAAACAGTTCTATAAGTCAGAGCAAACCTAAGTAATCCTTAAAACATTGTTGTACTAGAAAGACACCTCACTCTGGTGGCTCATAAAAACTAACATAAAAAAAAACATTGAAAAGATGTCGTACACACTTAGCTTTCGGTCCGATCTTGGTCAGATAAAATATTTAAAAATGTAAAGATTGTTTTACATTAATATATTATCTTGTGTGAATGCACACATTGGTGAATTCATACTATCCATAACTGTTTATTTTTATGTAAAAGGAGGCAAACGGGCAGGAGGCTCACCTGATGTTAAGTGATACCTAAGTGATGCCTATGGACTATGGAGGCTCACATTGTCAGAAGGCTCGCAACTGCGTTGCTGGCCTTTAAAAATCCATAACTGTCAAGTTCCGGTCGAATACAAAATATATACGAAGAATATTTCACCTGATCGGACTGATATCGACTGGTATAACCTTATATATTTTCACTTTGTGTGTAGACGTGAGATACCATTATCATAAATTCCTTACAAAAAACTCAATTTATAATTCTCACACCAGGAAACAATTACCGCGTAGAATATTCATAAACAACTCAGTTTGTTTGATCAACGCTAGATAACAGTTCCCAGGAGAAAATTCTTACATTCATGAACTATCGGATGCCCTTAATCATTTAGGAATTTGAATTTCGAATTGTAACATTGTTTCGTTTCCGGTGAGTTGCTTCCGGAATTGGTGGAAGGTGTATTTACGTAAAAGATGCACCTGCCATGCATATAGACTTTTAAAGAGCATATTCTTTTTGCGTAAATATATGAGGCATGGTTCTCATTTAGTGAAATTATACATAGTGTATGATATACGGCCTTGTATGTAAGCCATGATGAGTTTTTATTCTTGTGAGACAAAATGTTTCAAAACATGATTACCTGAATAGTTAGACAGACAAATTATTGTCATTTATATAATATACATTTATATTTTATTATTATATATTTGCTATTTTATTTTTAATGTAAACACATTTTGTAATTTAAAATTATCATAATGAGAACTAAATTTAACGAAGTATTTACAATATTCGTAACCTTCATAGTGTAATAATACGAGCAAAATACAGAATACAGAAAATTAAAAGTTTTTTCCTTATGGCAGTGTACCTTTAACGCTGGCAGCATTTCCTCTCTGTATTGCGATAGTAAGTTGAGCAAGAAAAGCACCAGCTCTAGGGTCTCCACTGCTATCTACCAGGCGCCAACATCAATCTTTAATTAGCACCTGTGGACTTGAATCCCACGGCCTCTATTCCAAAGAGAACAAAATCGAAATTGGAGTAGAGACTTATATTTGAGCCGTTTATTATTTTCCACCTGCTCTGCCGCCGCGCCAGCTTTTTTGCTTGTCCGAGGAAGGTGATACGGGGCTAACGTGTCCACACAAGTAGCATACCAAAGCCTCTCAAAAGATCAAAGAAAATCCATTAAAAACTTACATATTAAAAAAAACATATTCATTTCAATATTTACAGTAACACCGGATACAGCTTACTTCATCCCACAATGCCTTAGCTTAAAAGGTAATGAGTTACAAGAACTTAAAGAAGAAGGTTTACAAGAAAACATAAATAACAAGAAATCAGCAACATCATGGTCGTACCCTATCTATCAACGTTCAAAAACAAACTAATAATACAGCCAAAATCACGATAAGGAACCAGAAAAACTAAAACAAATTGCCAATTCATAGATTATATCGGGTATTGATATAACCTATAATTAACAATAGTTAAAAAAAAGATATATGATATGGCGGGTAAAAAGTGGCGTCGGGAAAGATCCGAAGATAAAATATAAGGCCGTTTAAACTATGACGATATATTTTTATAGAAGTATAATGTTTCATTCAGAGCATGACAACTTTATAGTAAAAAAACACTACATTTCCAGAGCCTGATATATTCGGTCACTGTTCGGCCTATCTGATACCTAATCCGCTGTTTTGAAAGTGTTATATTTTTATTTTTGTAAAGTTAGCATGTAACATATATATATACAGTGGATAAAGTTATATATGGTGTAGTAAACTTACTTAAAGAAATCTCTATATATATAAAATTCGCGTGTCACAATGTTCGTTCCCATACTCCTCTGAAACGGCTTAACCGATTTTTATCAAATTTTATATGCATATTCAGTAGGTCTGAGAATCGGCTACAATCTATTTTTCATACCCTAAGTGATAAGGGTTGGCCACACAACATTTTATTTTTATTTTTTGGACGAAATTTTAATTTTAATTTTTTTTTAGATGTGCTATTAAAAATACATACAACCCTAAATTTTCAACTTAGGGTTGTATGTAACTTTTTCACCCCTGTACAATCAACCCCTATTTTTTTTATTGTAGATAGCTATTTTTTATTGAACTATAAAAATGTTTCCTAGAAATAGTATATATGGCAAAAGAAACGTTTGCCGGGTCAGCTAGTAAATTTATAAAATCAAATCAAAATTTTATTGCTTTTACATTTTAGGATTTATTAAAATAGGTCACTACTTTAATTAAATTTAATTAGCTAAAAACTCAAAAAAAGAAGATAACAAAACACGTAATTTTAGTATTTTTAATTTCAATTAAGACCCAAAGATTTTCCTTCTGCGATAACAATCTTACAATACTCTTTTATGCTTCGCTAAATCAGATATAAATGGAAAAACTTTGATAACGACCAATGAAATCCGATATCAGCTACTTATTGATTAGAAAAGTTAGATGCAAGCCGGTAATTGCGTACTTTGCGCACGATTTTATAGCAAAAGTTACTACGTTACCGAACATACAAATAATAATTACGGAACATCCATACATTATAATGGACATTAGTGAAATTTAATGTGAAAGCCAAATTAAAGTATCTTATGTTACATAAGCAGTACATAATAATAACTAATGCATATTTAAAAAGTTAAGCCTTTAATGCAGGAAGCATTTTCTCGCTGTATTGCGGTAGTAACCACAAGTAAGCACAAGTACCGGTACCTAAATTAATTGTTCATAATCATAAACGTTACATATTAAACAACGGAAAGTTGCGTACCTACGCCACGTGTTGCGCCATGACCGCTACCACCTCCTTCAATTCATTATAATGGGTAATATCCAGGGTTAATGGCGTGTTGGTAGAAGAAAAATCATGGCTTCGTAACGTTAGGAAGTGGACGGGTATTCCGAAAGAGTTGCTGCATCTGGCACAGGACAAGACGCTTCACGAGACTGACGGCCAACATTCAGTAATTGCACCAAAAGAAGAACAATTATGAACGCAATTATGTACGTGTGAGCTTAAAATAGGTAATAAATGTTTCCTCACGTTATCAGTAAGATAGTAGACTTCAAAGTATAGGAACACTGAATTAAATATTACTGATTATTTTTTATTTTATTCTTGATTTTGGGATGAAATTATTGTCACGTGACTTTAACAATATCTTCACGATTTATAAAATTCGTGAGCAATGGCTTTTGTATCAATTAGAAGGTATATAACCCAAAAATCTTAAACTGGTGGTGGGAACAGTGATGATAGGAGAAGTCGGAGTCGATCGCCTACCCGTTGGAGTGACTAAATTAAAAAAAAAAAGAGTCTCAATATCAGTAATGCCCTAACACGAGCGGGGGATAGAGAACTGTGGAGGCAGCAAAACGACGTATCGGTTAGGGCTTTTCGACTTTCAGTTATAAAGATTACGAAGAAGAGAACCCATGAATTAACTTACTTATAAAATAGGGCCGTTCAACTATTGGTTATGATACTACATAAATACGTTAAAATTAATTACTAAACAGCGTATGTTTTTCAATAAATCATACCACAAAAGCCAATTAACATCACGTCACTCCTATCATTCGTTTACCGACAAACTTATCAAGACGAAAACAATTACGCAAGAAATTCATCACTAAAATAGCGAGCTAATAAATTATCAGTGATAAGTTCGTGGAACGCCACAAAGTGCCGCGTGACGTCACATGTTATCAGGACCTCATGACCGAACCAATTTCCAATATGAAACAATTGAACGGAAATGTGGAGACGCAATTCTTTTAGCTCAAATTGGCTGTAAAAGAGTTAGGGAAGCATGTGTTGCAGATAGAGGGCGATCGTGACTTATTCAGTTATAACTAGTTTTATATTTATCTTAATAAGTTACAATACCATCTCTAAAGAAAATATTATTTACTACTATGTATGATGTGGTGAACTTTAATAAATAAATAAACAAAATCACATAATTTTATTTTTTATTTTTAGATTTATTAAAATAGTTCACTACTCTAATTAAATTTAATATATGGGTCATTGAAACGGACTGTATATATCTACTGTACGGGTATAAGAATACTGTATGTATACATGGTGTAATAATAATATAAGTACATATGAGATGGACTGAAAAGTTCGTATGCTAACATAGAAAAAAACTTTTAAAAGAATTTGATTTGATTATTCGTTAAAGTTGCCTCGGAGAGCGATACACCGATTTTAGTATTTTTTTAATATTTCGTAGTTTTTATAGTACGATTTATCTTTAGCCTCAAAATAGGC